TGTGCCTAAAATTCCAAAGTTGAGATGAACATAAATCTCTCATACTCCCACCATTCATATGAAGTTTTCAAGTTCACTCTCTATTTATCTCTTTGCCCCCGCCTCAAAAAAACACAAAAGCCCACTTTCTTGTACCAAAAATGGAACAGGCGTATCATCCACCGTGAACAAAGACATCGCAAATCTAAAGGCGTTGAATCATGAGCTAGAGCAAAGTTCTCTAAAACATAATAATACATAGGAATTCAGAGCTCATCTAACCAACCTGCTCTTTTGCTAAATGTGCGGAGAACAATCAAGTTATCATGCTTCTTTACCCAATTCATCCTTGATTGAAGACCAGAGAACTCAATGTATGCTTCATCCAGAACAACCAAAATAGGCAATTTCAGAATCTTTAGAAGATCTTCATCATTAATTATACTGAGAGAAACAAGAGTAGAATTAGGGAAATCAGGAGAATGGATTATTTCTTTAAATATTAGCTAAAAAAAATTATATTCATATTTCATTTTTAAATTAAAATCACAACATATTAACAGCTCAGTGCAAACATGCATGCTCAGGGAATTATAAAAGTACATACCTCCCATCAGGATTGTTTGGTGAAGTCAGGAAAATGCATTTTGGTTTTTCTAGATTGACAACTTCAATAATGCGAGGGATATCCAAACTGAAATTTGAGATTCTTGGAACTGCATTAAAGTATAACAAGTCTCAAGGATGGTAAAAAAAAATCAGAAGATAATAGGTCTAACTGTTCGTTAACCAAAGTAGCATAGGAACAAAATAATTGGCATGCTATAATAAAAAAGAAACAAGCTAATGCAGGCCAAACATGACAGTCAGCTCATCCACGTCTGAAGTGACTCTGAATTAGACTTAATGGCTATTTGAGTTTCTTTGGCATGAGATTGTACCCATTGGACATTTTGACAAATGGTGTATCCCCTTATGTCCACCATATCTAACCTCAATTCTAAATATGCCCATGCATTGTAAACTCAATAGGATGATTAATGAAATGAATTCCTCCTATAGCTAGGTCACGTCAAATCTTTTCAACTTCTCCAAACCTGTGCTCCACCAAGCTGCTCCAAGAAAACCAACAGGAATACATCCCCTCCATATCCAAAACCCTGTTTTTCCCCACTCTTCCCTTCGCGGAGAGCTTGGATAATCAATGAGATGATAAGCGCATCAGCCTAACCCTATTGAGGCAACCCCAATGCGTAAGAGAGGGAAGAAGCGAGGTCTAATTTCCATTGCATTCTTAATTGCTTGTTCGCAACATGGCGTGGAATGCAGCTTATAGATTTCATGCATCAAATTATTTCATTGGTTGCTGAAATCATTGCTCACTGATTTCCTGCTTACTAGCTTAATGCATATGCTGCTGAATTGCTTTCATTCACTGTTTGTTTATGCTGCTCTTCACCACTACATCAATATTGTTATCTGCATCATTAGATAGTTGCAACTCCTGCTTGCATCATAAGTTGAATACTCTTAACGATCATCTATATTACAGTTATCTGCATCTTTAATTCTGTTAACGATCATTTTTTACTTCTGTTAATGATAATTGCCAAAAAAATATTCACCTTGATTGCATTTCAATTGATCTACGTATGTTGTTTTCAATGCGCTTATGCTGATCTTCACCCTGCTCCTTGTTTGCAATTCAACTTTTTTTTCTGAAGTGTTTCCACTCGTCAATCATATTGCATTTCAATTGACAAAGGGCATGATTGTGATGAAGAGGCCGATTTGATTGAGTGAAAATTTAAAAGTTTCCTAATCAAGAGGGAGCTGTTTAGAAAGGCTCTTAATCAAAAGGGGATTGTTTAAAAAAGTTTTAATTAAAATTGTGAGGAAATTATTTAGGGCAAGAGACCTAATTTGAATTTAAATATGAGAGAGAATTATTTAGATAAAGGGGGTTAATTTGGGATAGAAATTGGGGAAGCTTGTTTAAGGCTAACAATAGAGTGATTTCAAGAGGAAGTATGTGTTTGCTGAAATTAGAATTTCTTAGGTTGTGAAGGCTCTAGCTGCTAGCCAGGGATTTTGAAGAGCAGGATCTTCCTCTCCAATTGAAGATCCAATTGTATCTTGCTTTTTATTTCATATATCTTTCAATAAAAAGTTCTTGTGTGCTCTACTTCCTAGTTTTCCAATTTCTACATCCACTTCCTATTAGATTGCTTAGAAACAATGTTCGTAGAGTTTCCCTAAACCTTAGCAGCATTACCAATTGAACCCCAAAGATCACATGAAATTAGCCTATTGTATCAAACAATGTTTAAAATTGCGCAAATAGGTATTGAGGCATTTTTTGTTCATGAGGCGAGGCGTAAGCCTCAAGGCGTTTTGAGGCGTAAGCTTCAAAATAAAATATTACGTTAAGTGCAAATAAATGTTAAAAAAAAAATTATATAATACCTAAATAATATGTTAAAAGATGGCATATTATCTTTCTATTGAACTATGAAGTAATACAATGACATATGAAACAAAAGATTGCACTAGACATAAAGTATTTGGTGATATATTACATGAGCGAAAAATTATTAATTCTAGAAATTGCATAAATGTATCATATAACATTAAGTTCAACATCAAATTCTTTCTTTCTAAGATCCCTACTTATCTATATTTAATTTCTAAAAAAGGCTGAAAAGTTGGCAACAA